ACACACACACACACACACACACACACACACACACACACACACACACACACACACACACACACACACACACACACACACACACACACGTGGGTCAGCAAAAATTTGTGGAGTAAATGCTGGTTCCAGAGCACTGGTGGAGAAAAAAGGTGATGGATGGTTCACAGAAGGTCTTCCCAACGAACCAGGGAGATGCGTCCCAGTTCCTCAGAAGGGAACTCACCACAGGCGGCTCCATGGGGCTAGAGAAACAGCCCTGATTCCTCCCCCACATCTGGCTGGTCAGCTCTGGGTAGCAGAGGTCAGCACACAGGGCCACTGGAGTGGCCATGTCGACCACATACACAGGAGGCCAATGGCGGGAGGAGACGAGCAGATCCACATGGTCGAGGGCACTCTCGCCCCGCACAAGATACTTGGAGCCACACACCACCTGGTGGGGAGATGGAGTACAGCACAGGGTGAAGCCGCCAATCTGCAGACAGACCGAGTCAGGTCCACTAGCTTCCTCCCAGGAAGATGGACAATCCGGTTTATGACTGAGGTCACGCCATCCTGCCAGAGCCCGTGACATTCTGCTTCCCTCCTACTTCCGGCCCTAAATGAAGTCGCCAGCTCACTGCAGCCTAGGAGAAGAGCTGGGAGCATCCGAGCCTCAAAGGAGGCTGAGAGATCCCCCCCCATCCCCACCCACCAAGGCATTACCTCCAAACCCCACCCTCCACATCACCCACCAAACACCATCTAGGCCAGTGGTTCCCAAGCTGCATGGCACCAGCAGCTAGGAGGAAGTTCCTGGGTCCCACTCCAAATCTACAGAATTAGCCACTGAAGGTGGAGTCTAAGCATCTGTATTTTGAGCAGACCCTGATGGTGCTATCCAGATGAGAACCCCTGATGAACGTATAGCCTTCATCAAACCCCCCCAAATACCACTCCACTGCTGGGCAGCTGTGTGTCCACTGGAGAATTCTGCCTCTACCTCCCTACCTTCACACCTACCAGTCCTGGCTATCACCTCCAAGTAATACCACTGGCCCACCACAGCCCCGAGACCTATAGCTCTCACATCCCTGTGTTGTCAAGTGCTTCTCCTGAGATGAACCCCAGTCACATGAACACAAGGCTCTGAGCAGGCTCTGACCTGCCAGGGGTTGTTAAAGGAGTTGACCACCTGACTCTCTTTCGACAGCTAGTCGCCCTGCCCACTCAGTGAAATGGAGGCTCTGCGAAGCCGCCTTCCCCACTTAGCACTGTTCAGGGGGTTTTCTACCCTGGCATCTTCTTGGATTGGGACGACTGTGTCACACAGGGCACAACCTTCCCAGTGCTATCCTGGCGCCTACCCTGTGCATGCTCTCTACGGGCCTAAGGAGTGATCTTCTTAGAACCCAGATCAGACCATTTCCCATTCAAACCATCCAATGGGCCCCTCTCATCACTCTCCGAAGAAAACCCAAACTGTTACTCTTGCCTCCAAAGCTCTACATGAACTGGCCTCCAGGGACCCCTCCCTGCTCAGGACATAGTGGTCACATCCCTTCCCAAGCTTACATGGGGCTCTCAGCCTCCTCTGGCTGCCCCATAGACAGCAGGTCCCTCTCCGCTACTTTCCACCTCTGGTCCTTGTCTAGTTCCTGCAGAGCTGGTGCCATAAGCCACGGTGACTTTCTCTCTCAATATGAGGTCACCCAGGGAGGAATGACATCTTCGTTGCTCACCTTTGTACCCTCAACAGCTGATGCAGGGGCCAGCACACAGTAGGGTGCCTAATACTCACTGGTGATGACCCATAAGGAGCTATTCCGCAGCTGCCCAGTGACCTAAGTGCCAGCTCCAGGATGAGCTGGATCAATCAGATCCTCTGTGTGGGCAAACTGAGTTCTTCCTCGTTATCCTCTTACCTGATGGGGGCACATCTTGTAGATTTTACCCCCTGTGAGATGAGGTGGGGGCTGTCGAGCTCTGGCTCCATTCTGAACAGATTCGTAGAGGGCCAACAAGGAGAAGCAGAGCTGGTCCTAGAGCACAAGGACAAGATTAGACACAGCAGTGAATGCTAAGCAACCAGGCTTGCTACACAGCACCAAATGCCCACTCAAAGCAAATGAATAAACTGTTAAGGCCAGACTGGGCCTTGGAGCCTCACCAGCCCGATGTCCTTTAGGTACATACGGGGACGCTGAGGCCCTTTAAGGGCCAGGTCACAGACAGAGCCAGCCAGACTGATCAAGCTGCCAGACTCTGAGGCCTGGGTTCTATTTTTTTTTTTACAGGGCGGGGAAAGTGTCAAAGAGGAGCCAACATTTGAGTCTGAACTTGATGCATAAGATTTTCAGGAGCGTATTAGTATGAAGGGAAGTACATAACCTATGGATAAAATACACACACCCTTCCACATCCTTCTCTATGGATGCCATGGCGCTTGTTTTCTAAGAGCCTGGATAGGTGATAACTAGACACTGCAAACTTCGTGAGGTTGGTATTTTGGTTATTTCCACTTTGCAAATGAGGAAAATGAGGTTCAGATGTGTAAGGCAGCTTATCTAAGGCCACACACAGTTAGCAGGAGAGCCTGGATTCCTGAACCTGAGTCTGGACCCACTACCTCAACAGAGGAACTGCCTGGATGGGAAGGCCTCGCGTGCATGTCACAATTTGGCTGCTGGCTATCTCCCAGGCCTCCCTGCCCACCAGCACT